AAAAAAAAAAAAAAAAAAAAACGGGGAGAGGGCATCCGTCACACCTGCACGAATAATAATAAAAAAGGAGAAAGGAAAATCAATCGATAAGTCAAAAAAATATTAAAAAAAATATTTAAAAAAAAACTAAAAAAACAAAAGGCCGTGATAGGACAGGGCCTCGGTTCGTCATGGCAGAACCCTAAATATTAGGGGGGGAAAACAAGAAAACAAAAAACGAATTCAAGAAAAGCTGATATTTATTCGAAAAAATAAAATAAAATAAAAAAAGAAAGGGCAAAAGCGGGGTGGATGAGAAAAGGGAAATAAGAAGAAAGAGGGAAGGAGGATGAAGACGAAAGGCCCTCGTTTCTTTTCTCCACTAGTTGAATGTGAACAAGAGCGGCATCTGTATATTGCCGCCTTCTATGTTAAGATACACTCGCCATTTTCCACTTTTGTAGAGCGATGGAAAAAGGCTTCGGAAGAACGAAGGTATAATTAACTGGAAACTTGTCTTTTTTTCAATCAAATCAATCAATCAATCAAAAAAAAGAAGGGAAAATTAAAATAAAATAAAAAAAAGAACAAGAAGTGAAGACGAAAGCAAAGAGAGATAGATAATGGGCCTCGCTGCACTACTCTCGAAAAGTGAAAAACGAGAGCGAATCTTTCACTAAAACATGGAAAGATACACTGCCATGATTTTTGTCTTTTGTGCATGTCGAAAGTAGTGGAGCGAGGGCCAATGTGAACAAGCCACCAAACAAGAGTAAGAACCCCCCCCCTAAAACCTATCCTCTATTCCTGACCGTTGATTACCAAGATCAACGGCCAGAAATTAGCAACCTGCAGGGGGGGAGAGGAAAGGAAAAAAAAAAGTTTTTTTTTTGCTGTTTTTGGTTTGGGGGGGGGGGGGGGGGGGGGGGGGGGGGAGGCGAGGTCACACGGATCAGGATCATTAGTTTCTGACCGTTGATTACAGAAATCAACGGCCAGAAACACAGAATTGTATTTGGACCTTGCTCCACTAACACGGCATTCTAACGAAATATATCTGGTCAAAAAAGAAGAAGAAAAAAAAGAATCTGGGCAGGTACGATACACTGCAGATACATGCGGACTGACCCGACATTTTGCCCTTTGCCTTTTTTTTTTTTTTTTTTTTTTCAAACAGGCGAACCACTTCATGCTAACTCGACAATTCGAATGTATCGGGATCGCTACCAGATCCAGATGCATTTAAAATGTTGTGTAGTGGACAAACGCGCTGTAATGGGGAAACGGGTCCCCTCCATACATTCATAAGTTGTCTGTTTTTTTTTTTTTTTTTTGGGGAAACTACGCAGAAGTCACACGAATGAGTTATAATTGCACCATGGGCCAAGATACAGTTTCGAATTGCTGTTCGGGCAAAGTATACAACCCAGCTTTCTGTCCAGGTAGGGTGCCCGAAATGCAATTCCGAACTGTATCTTGCCCCATAGTGCAATTATAACTCGTTTTTTGCGACTCTACTGAAGTTACCCCTTCTTTTTTTTTTTTTTTTTTTTTTTCACCCCCCCGAAAGGATGATCATTCTCATTTCTCAACAGCAAGTCAACCCGGGGCAAGGTCCCACTCGCGCAAATTAGGAGATTTCAGCCGTTGATCTTTGCTATCTACGGTCAGTATCTCTTAATCTAATAATCTGTGCAAGTGGGACCTAGCCCCCCGGAAAGGTGCCTGCTGGCATTGCTGGGAGCATTACCCAGTTTCTCTTACCTGAGGAGCCCGCCAAGGGACCAACACCCTGAGAAGAAAAAATAGCATGACAAAACAACAGACAGAGACCAGAGGCTCGGGTTGCAATCAAACTAGGCCCTACTGGTTACGCCCCTACCTCAGGAGCCATTGGGGCACTCCAGGTTCCTACGTAGCGATGGCACTCCCTCCATGCCCCACAATGCCCACATCCCACAGTCCGCTGGCGGCTGCCCTCCTGCTTCGGAGATTGTACCGAGCACCCAGGTACTTCCGGGGCCAGGTCCCACTTACCCGAATGATCGATTTCTGACCGCAGATTCGGAAGATCAACGACCAGAAATCAAGGATCAGAGTCAGTGGGACTTGGCCCCAGGTACTTACAACTCAGTCAGTAGCCACGAATCCAATACCGACATACCATCTTCGACTTTGGCCAGTTACAGTCTTCCCCCGAATACAACGTACGGTCATTATAGCTGAATTTAGACTGAAAAGATACACCAGATTCAGCTATAATGACCGGACGTTGTATTCGGGGGAAGACTAGCCTGGAACGGCCCATCTCGCTGAAAACCAAGACAGGCGATCTTCTGTTGGCTGCACATGATCTTCCGTCTCCAATCTACCTAGATTGCTCTTCGGATCTACAGCTTCGCAGAGGCTTTGATAGATTTATTTGGAATGACACACCCATCAAAAACATCCCTGTTTCTTTTCTTTTTTTTTTTTTTTTTGAACAGTCCTGTTTCTGAGCTCCCATCTCCCATACCACCAGAATTTCCAGAAACAGGCAGGCTCTGAGGGCTTGGGCGACGCCAGGCAGGCTCTGAGGGCCTGGGCGACGCCGCGACGTAGCCCCATCCCTTGTGTTTTGGAG